TTTTTTTTTTTTTGTGGAACCAGGGATTGAACTCAGGCCCTTGTGCTTATTCCACTGAGCCATCTCCCTGTGCCCATAGAGCAATACATTTTTATTTATTATTATTATTGTTGTTGTTATTTTATTGTGATGCTGGGGGGTAAACCCAGGACTTCATACATGGTACACAAGTGCTCCACCACTGACCCACACATGTGTATGGAATGTTTAATTGTACATATTCGTGGAATACAGTGTGATAACTCAGTGTATATATATATATATACTATGTAGTTATCAAGTCCAAGTAGCTTGTTCATCTATTTAAACATTAAAATTAAAAAAAAATTATCACATAATTGTACATATTTATGAGTGACAGTGTATATATATAGAGGGGGAGGGGCAGGCCGATTAGTGGTTTTTTTTTTCATAATTTTATTGAGAAACAAATGGCGATGAGACAGTTTCAAATCAAATTAGTAGGACAGTTTCTTTTTTTTTTTGCGGAACCGGGGATTGAACTCAGGTCCTTGAGCTTGCCAGGCAAGTGCTTATTCCACTGAGCTATCTCCCCGGCCGGGACAGTTTCATTAATTAACACATTGCATGCTGTCTTCCTAGTGGTTATTTGTTGTACAGGATGCAGATATGATATCCTATTTACAAACACTATTAGAACAAATCCCTCTATTCATTGAATTAAGAGAATGTAGCTGTATATCTATCCTAACCATTTTGAATACACAGATACTAAATGGTCATTCATCTATATCCCCTTTTTTTGTTTAGTTCCGTCATTTAAATATTATAGGTGTGTGAACTCAGCAAAATACTCTAAAATAGTCCAGTAGTCCATAATAGTATTGGGTCTTCTGCATGGCTGGCAATGTTGGAACGATTAGTGTTTGAATGTGTGGCTTAACAGTGCCTTTAGACGAGCAGAATTTTGTATTTTGCTTAGCCAGTGTATCAGGTTTTTTCTTTTATGGTTTGCTCTTTCTGTATCTGATCCAAGGGTTACTTACAATGACACTAGTAAATTCAAAAATCTAGAAGTAGCGCAAGTCATATTCTCTGAGCATAATACAAAAAATTACAACTGGAAATCAAAGTAGACCAAAAACCATATCCTTTGAACACTGTATAATAAGTAGAAGCCAAAATAGACCCACTAGTTGGAAATGTAATACAGATCAGTCTGAATATAAAATTAAATTGATTATTAGATTATAGTACCAGCCCTGACATACAGAACATGGAAAGATGAATAGAATACCAACTGAATACTGTGAAGGCCTTCTCTCTACCAAAATGCACCTTGGTGTGGTGGTCACTAAACCGGCCCATGTATACCCACCCTCCCCATTAGAACAAATCCCTCTATTCATTGAATTAAGAGAATGTAGCTATATATCTATCCTAACCATTTTGAATACACAGATACTAAATGGTCATTCATCTGTATCCCCTTTTTTTGTTTACTTTCGTCATTTAAATATTATAGGTGTGTGAACTCAGCAAAATATTCTAAAATAGTCCAGTAGGCCATCATAGTGTTGGGTCTTCTGCATGACTGGCAATGTCAGAACGATTAGTTTACTTTTGGCTTCACAAGACTAGGTGCCAGAGAATCTTAAGTTTTCTCTCTCAATTCTTGCCTAAATGCAGTATGAGGGTTCTTCTCTCCTCTGCAAGAATGGCTGTTTTCAAGTAGTTGTTAAGTGTTGTTTGTCTTAAGGTTCATCACTGCATCTGGAAATTGCTAAACTATTTTGTAGTTGTTTCTTTTCCTTTTTTTTTTCCCCCCAATACATTGGCTTTGTGTGAAATGGGATTTGAGTTTTAAGTGAGTTTGATTTTCTTTGTTAAGGATACATTATAAGGCAGGGCTGTATAAACAGTTAACATCTTTCTTCTTCTTAGGACTGGGAATATTTACTAAATTCAGACTACCACCAGAATGTTGAGTCTCATCTTCTGAACAGATCTTTATGTTTGAGTTCTTTGGAAGTTTCAAGGGTGAAGGATGAAGACTTTTCACAGAATCTCAGTCTGGATTCTTCTACTCTTCTCTTTACTCACATGCCTGCAATATTTTTTGTTCTTCACCTTGTCTACGAGGAGTTGAAGTTGAATACTCTAATGGGAGAAGGGATTCGTTCGCTTGTTGACCTGCTGGTTCAGTTGGCAAGGTAAATGTTGTTTATATATTTGCAACTGCTGAGTGTGATTTGTTTTCCCTGTTATCATAAGGTTCTGAAACCTACCTTCTTAGGCAAGCAGAATGTTTTCTGTAAGCCAGAGAGAACATGTTTGAAGATACCAGTTGTAGAAGGGGCTCTGGGGTCTTTAGTTTTAGGATGATTAGAAATTCATAAAAAGTGGGGTGACCTGCTCAACACTGTTTTGGTAAGAGATTGGCTACATGGCAGGAGAAAATTCATAGTAACATCTGCTGCTTTATAACCCCCCCGTTCATATAGTGCTTTACTGTTAGTAAAATCATATAAAATGTCAAACAAAGTAGGTATTGCCCCTGTTTTAGTGATGAGGCAACTGGTGTGAGATTGTTTCTCAGAACATGAGTGGCATTTGTTAGGCGTGAACTCTGTGCTCTTTTGCTGTGCTTCGTTTGTTGCAGTCTGTCCTTGTCCCTGTCTTCCTAGGCACTCAGCGGGAGGCACAGGATGGTCCTTACACAGTTGTCTTTAGTTGTTTTCAGGGTGCAGAGCTCCCTATGTCTGGCTCTTAATTCCAAAAGTAAGTGTTGTTTGAGCATTGTGACTGTTGGTGATAATGGACTGAGATTGTAGCACATTTTTGATGTCTGTGGTCTCTCTTGAGATCCTGAAATATTTTCTGCTGAAACATGGCAGTGTTCTGTTGTTTTTTTTCCTGAGACAGGGTCTCGCCATGTACTGTATGCTGACTTTAAACTTGCTTGTGTAGTCCGGGCTAGCACTCAATGCGGCGTGACCCACATGTCTCAGCCTCCCAAGTGTTGGGATAAGAGTCAAATGTCACCATGCTCAGCTTATTTTATTTTTGAGACAGGGTCTTGCTGTGCAGTTCAGGCTGGTCTTGAGCTCACTATGTAGCCCACATTGGCCTGGAAGGACATGGAAGTTTTAACTGATGGTTAGTTCCACTTAATGACAAATCATTACTCGTACAAAAATTCTTTTATAACTAATTTCCAAGCTATTTCATGGCTGTCTGCAATAAGTAACATTTTTATAATGCCATTCATTTCTAAGGTCTTAGCCATATATTAATTTATCTTCAAAGCTTTATGCTGACGTCTGTAGAGATGACTCCTTGAAGATCATGCAGCTAATGACTAACAGAGGAGGAGCTAGAACACAGTGTGTTTCCTGTAGTTTTACCTCAATGAAATTTGTCCAGTAAAAGAAATCTGGGTTGCGTTTGTTATACTGTTCTTGTTATAAAGGCGAGAAATACAATGAAGAGATTCTAGATTTGATTATCTTCTACCTCATTAGTTTATTTTTTCAATTGAAAAGTTTAACTGATGAATCCTTCTGACTGTGGTGTGGGGAATGCATAATATTTTTCATTAAATTTGCTCTTACTTTTTCAGGGACTTACACTTGGGGCCTTATGTAGATCATTACTATAGAGACTATCCCACACTTGTCAGAGCTACCGGACAAGTGTGCACAATTGATCAAGGTGAGTGTGCCATAAAGATTTCCTGAGTAGTGTGGTGATACTTGTGTGTACTTGTTTCTTTCTCAGCGGATGGCAGAGGATATGTTTCTTACCATTGTTCACAGGCAGTATCTTTTCACCAGTTAGATTTTGGTTAATAGTATTTGATCCTTGACGTGTAATCAGCTGTAACTTCTTTAATATGGAGGGAAAACTTATCATCCCTAAGGTTCTGACTTGGAAAACTCAGCGAGAGCTTCCAGGGAATGGGATGCTGTAACCTAGACCTGTGCTGTCCAGGTAGGAGCCTTAGCCATAGTTACTTGAAAATAGAACAATTAGGGTCTAAAGCTTGATTCTGTGTCCATCATGGCCGACAAGATGGATAAGTCTCTGGACAACATTATTAAGCTGAAACAGAGCCAGCTGGGCAGCCATGGTGGGGTGCTCAGGTGGCCATGGCGGTAGAAACAGCCCAGTAGGAATTGTTCAGTGGGAAGCAGCCGGTAGGCACCCTGTAGCAGGCCTAAGCAACCCCTGTACAAGTGGCTACATGACCTTATGAACAGTGTCTTTGGACTTGGTGCCAGTGTGGTGACAGGGAAAGCTGTAGGTGTCAAACTGGACTTTGGAGTGTCAGAGGCAGGTTTTGAGGAACTCTGCTGAATTTAGAACACTGAAGAAGGTAACTGTGTGCTCTGATTACTCTGACTGGAGATGCCTAACAGTAGCTGTGCACTTTGAATGGCAGGCACATGCCCTGAAGGCTGTGAAATGGTGCGACAGGGGCCTGTGAACATCAGCTTGTCACGTCACAGACTGAAACGCAACAGATAACTTGTACTGAGCATAAACATAGGTGGCTATAACTAGAAGCCACGGCTCTGGAGGTTTCCACAGTGGCAGTGGTATTGCAACCTGAGAGGGACCCACAGAGGCATTAGGGGAAGAGGGAGAGGCACTGGCAGGAACACAAAGCAGTAGCTTTCTGTGGAGGAGCTGGACACCCTTAATAGAAGGATGAATCCACTAAATGGCTGATCTGTGAGGAGAGGACTCAGTGCTTGCTCTGCTCTCTGTGGAAGGGATGGGACTGGGCTGTGTGACCAGTCAGATTTGTTTCTTTACTGTTTTAAAATAGGATTTAAAAACTCATATAAAGTTTTCTTCTTTTTCTTTTTTTAAAATTCTGAAACAGACCTATTTTGTATCATGTTATTTGGGGATAACTTTTACTGGTTGCTGTTGTGGAAAAGGTGGCATTTTCACCTTTGCTGTAATAAACTAGAAATGTGTGTGAAAAAAATTAGCTCCTCAGTCAGCTATCCAGCCTGCCCTAAAGGGGCTCAGAGTTGGGGCCTACTTCAGTGCTGACTTTCTGTTTAAGAACCTTTGGAATTAGACAAAAAAAAAATTTGGTTAGATTCCTTCTATGTTTTGTGCATAAGAATTTGCTAAATTTCCATCCGGGATGGGATACAATGGAAGTTATTTAAATTTGTATATAATTATCTAGTCAGTTATTTACTGTGGCAGAGTGCAAAGCATTGTGGAGAGTAGAATACTGGACAAAATGACAGAGGAGTGTTGCTCTGCTTTGCAATGAGAGGTACCGTTGATCGTCTTCCCTTTAGATTAGAGTAGTATTGTCTGGATGTATATGGGAAACAAACATTGCTCTCCTTTTGAAGGTCAAACAGGATTTATGTACCACCCATCATTTTTTACTTCTGAGCCACCAAGTATTTATCAGTGGGTGAGTTCCTGTCTCAAGGGTGAAGGAATGCCACCGTATCCTTATCTCCCTGGGATCTGTGAAAGAAGCCGACTCGTGGTCTTGGTATGTATCTTGAGTATCACCTCTCTTATTTAATTTTTTCTTTTTAATTTTTTTTTTTCCCGGAACTGGGGATTGAACTCAGGCCTTTGCGCTTGCCACAGAAGCACTTATTCCACTGAGCCATCTCCCTGGCCCCTTTCTTTTTAAATTTGATTTAAAGATTATTATACAGTGAAGTCAGCATTTTTCTTCCTATGTGTAGTTGTGTGAATTTCACCAGATACGCAGATTTCTATAATTGCCATCATAGTTAGGATGTATGATTTAGAGACTCACTAATGTTGTCACTAACAGTTCGTTGCATTCTGTTGCTGAGTTGCCTTCCATTCTGTAGACTGTTCCACAGTTGATTTTATCTACTCAGGACAGTTAGGTTGGTTCCAGTTGGTAGTAATTTAACAGTTGCTGCAAACATTCATCTCCATGGTATTGTATAAACAGAAGTTTTCATTTCTTTAGAGTAGATACCTAGAACTGGAGTTGATAGTCATACATTAAATGTATACTTAGTGTTTTGAGAAACTGTTATTTTCCCGGATGTCTCTTTATTAAACATTTTCACCAGCAATATTGAAGAGAATGTTTCCTTGTATTTTTTGTCAGTATTTTTTACTCAGGTCCCTTGACTATTTTGAATTGTGGTTATTTGTTGTAGAGGTTTATACTCTAAATATTAAGACTTATCAGGCACATGATTTGCAGATATTTCCTGTAGGTTATCTTTTTATAAATATTTCTTTGAGATTGGCTCTTGTGCCCAGCTCACTTCCCCGGGCTCTCTTTCTCATATTCCTTTATAACCTGCTGGCCCACAGACATAGTTATGAAAATAATAAAAATAGTTCAGCATAGATCCTTTTGTTTTTTTGTTTTTTTGTTTTTTTTTTGATCCTTTTGGTTTTGTCATGACTTTTTATTTATTTATTTATTTTTAATGATGACACCCAGAGCCTTGTGCATGCTGTGCTCTATCACTGAGCTATACCTCCACCCTTGGCCATGAGTTTTACTGGGTTTAATTTTTTTGTTCATTTAATATTTAATTATAGAGATATTTGCAGCAGTCTGGCCAAACCTTTCCAGCTGGTAGTGGCTCTTCACTATAGAGTCTGCACTTGTGTCAGTGGAGATGGTGTTGCCTATTTACCATGTTAAAATGAGGGAGGGGAAAGTAAATAAGTGATCTTTTATTGGGGGATCCTTGTCTTCAAGGAACTTCACTTATGTTTTCCCAGATATTAAAGAGGCCTGATTTATCTCTTATCACTGTGATACTTTTGAATAATGTAATTTAGAGATCAGAAATACTGAGATAAAAGTATGCTTTTATCTTAGTTATGTGCTTAATATTTTAAAACTTTTAGAGACTTTTTATTTTATGTTTATTTTTTCCCCTTCCCCTCAAAGGGGATACCACTATACCTCTTTGGGTTTAGAGTGAAGGTGTGGAAATACTTTCTGAATAAAAGATGTTTTAATGCTACCCACTTCCAAAGCAGATTTGAGGCCATTAACACTTCACAGATATGTGTGTGACAATATGACAGCTTGGCAGTACAATAGAAACTTTTTTTTGGTGAGCAGAGGACTTCTAGTTCAAAGAATCATCTTCCTCTAGTGGATGATGTTAAGACAGCTAAACATTTGAAATTGTTTGTTAAATTTCTTATTACTGTTCACAAGTGAACATTGCCTAGATGAGGCAGTTTTATATACCTTTTGGGATATAACTAGATACCTGCTAGAATAGCTGAAAATATGATGGGGTGAGGATATGAAACAGTAAAACCCATACATCACTAGTGGGGCAGCAAAAGTGGCTTAGTACCTTCGAAAACTGTTTGAGAGTTTCTTATAAAGTTTAACATACAGTTACTATAAAACAAAGGATTTTCTACTTCTGGATGTTTATCTAGGAGAAAGTAAGGTATATTAATACACAAAGATCTGGATTACACAAGTTTTGTCATAGTTGCCATAAAGTGGAAGCAATCCAGATGTGCGCTGGTTGATGAGAAGGTAATCTTTGGCATGTCTGTGTAATGGAATACTGCTTGGCACAAAGTCGGAACTGACCCCTGGTAAATGCAGTAGCAAACTTGGATCTCAAGGCATCATGCTGGCTTGCAGAAGCAGGCCATTTGTTCCAGATTTGTACCACTAGGGGACACACAACTCTGGAGCAGGGAAGCATGAGTTGTTTCTAGTGGTGAGTGTAGGAGGAGGCTTGATGACAAAGGGCACAGGGAACCCCTGCAGTTGTGTACATGTTCTGTATTGCCAGTGTGGTCGTGGTTCTCTGATTGGACTGTGTTTGTTCAGGTTCATAGAGCTGAAAAAAATTTGTTTTTTAAAAATAGTATGTTTATATTTTCTCCTTATACAGAGCATTGCCCTCTACATCCTTGGCGATGAGAGCTCTGTTTCTGATGACTCCTCAAAATATTTGTCTAAAATAACTGTAGGTAAGTTGGTGTAATGTTAGGCCTCCCAGAACAAAATTTGATAGCTGTCATTATCAGAACTGAAATAAGAAAATTAAAATATTCACAGTTCTTTGTGGTAGAAATCACATCTTGCCTTTTCAGTATGTTCTAGTCTACAATCTACAACTAGTTTTCAGATAATAAAATAGTACGAATCTTATATTTTCATTATAGCTGCAAAAAAAGGAAATTGTGTTAGCTTTAAGGAAATTGTGTTTTTCAGACTGTGTCTTTACTGCTTATTTTATTATTTTTTAGGAATTGTTGATTAATGAATTCTTTTTTTAAATGCCTTCTGCACGTTGTATCTTTTCTTTGTCAGGATGTCTATTAAAATTTCATTTTGTTGCCCTTTAGCCCCACAAAAGGTGCAAGCAGAACAAGAAGAAAACAGGTGATTTCGTTTTTATATCTAAAATTTAAAACAGTATTTGATCTTGTTATTTTTCTGTAATATTGCTCTTTTGCTAGTAACTTAGTGTTTTATTCTCTTCAAGTTTTAGTTTCCGACGTTCTACGACAGTTTCTAGCCTAGCTGAAAGATTAGTTGTCTGGATGACCAGTGTAGGTAAGTGCTTCCTTGTGTTTCTGTTCAGGTTTTTTTTTCTTTTTCTTTTTTCTTCTGTTAGTTCATGCTTATAGCACTTATCACATGCAGCACATTCCTCCTGGGGAGTCAGCTCATGTCCGTGTCACATCTTAATCCTTTGGCCTTCCGCTTTTTTTCTACTCTGTTCCGCCCTCCATCTCTAGATGACCATCCTATTTATTTGCAAAAGGTCTATCTCCTTGTTTCTGTCATCTGCCTTTTTATTTTGCTCTTTAAATTATTTACTTTGGGTTTCTCATGTAAGAGAGACCATGTGAAATTTATTTATTTGTTTATTTATTTATTTATTTTGTATGTAGTTGGTACAGGATCTCACTATGGAGCTCAGACTCATAGTGATCCTCCTATTTTCAGCCTCCCCAGTGCCGGGATTATAGTTGTGTGCCACCGTGCCCAGAGGCAGTGCTGGTGAAATTGACTTTTTTGTGTCTGATTTATTTCACTGAGCATTATGTCTCAAGGAATATCATTTTTCTACACATGACTCAAATTCATCCAGTTCTGTGGCCAAGCAGTACTACGTATTGTATACATATATTACTTTTTCTTTACTGACTCATTTGTTGTTGGGCATATAGGCTACTTTCAAGATTTCCCAGTTAGGAATTGTGCTGCTTTATAAACGTGAATGTGCCCGTATACTGTGATACAATGTCTTTAATCTTTTGGGAAGATAGATAGGGAATAACTGAGTTAAGTGGAATTTCTATTTTTAGGTTTTTTTTTATGGTAGTGGGGGTTGAACTCAGGTTCTTGTGCTTGCCGGGAAGGTGCTTATGCTGCTGAGCTATCTCCCTGGCCCTTATTTTTAGTTTTTATATTTATTTATTTATTTGTTTTTGTGGAACCGGGGATTATATTCAGGCCCTTGTGCTTGCCAGGAAATATTTTTAGTTTTTAAAGGAATCTGCATATTGATTTCTCTATCATGGTTGTACTAGTTTACACTTCCATCAGTAATGTGAAATAATCCCCACCCCCAAGACTTCCCAGCATTTGTTTCTTTTTGAGTTCTTGATAGTAGCCAGTCTTTTTGGGTTAAGATGGAATCTCAGTGCTATTTTGATTTGCATTTATACACATACACACATGCAAAAGTAATGGCTTTTTAAAGAATATTTTGTTTGAGTTTTTATCTAAAGAATGTTCTGAATGAAGTTCTTCATAGTTCTTTTTTGTGTGTCACTTTGAAAATAACAGTAATTATGTTCTTGAACCTATAGCACACTTGCACCAAAAAATATTCAACTGTGTGGCTAGGCATGGTGGCACATAGCTTGTAATCCTAGTAATTGGGGAACTGGGATAGGAAGATCCCCAGGGGTTTGAGGCCATTGTGGGTCATATAGTGAGACCAGCTTCAAAAAAGCAAAACCAGAGATGTTGGATGACTTTAGGCCATCTATATATGTCACCTATGATATATATATATTATATTTATATTTTTTTTAATATTTAGTCGAGGGTCTACAGGGTCTCACTACACAGATTGAACTCATAGTGATCCTCCTGTTTTCAGCCTCCCAAGCACTGGGATTACAGGTGCGCGTCACCATGCCCAGTCTTCACTTAATATTTAATAAAAATGTTATTATATAAGGAAACACTGTTGGTCTCCATAATTTGTTAACTTTGTGTAGTACGAATAATGCATAATTTTGTAAAATTTTAAAATTGTGACAAAAATAAATTTGAATTTGAAGATTCAAATGATGAAATGTTATTCATATAAAAGAATATGTAAGGGGCTGGTGAGATGGCTCAGTGGTCTAAAGCACCTACTTAGAACAAGCATAGCAAAGCACAGGGACCGTGGTTCAATCCCCCAGCACCACATGCCAGCCAGCCCCGCCCCCTGGTGGGCTGAGCTGGCCACACACACACACACACACACACACATAAATAAACAAAATTAAACAAAAAAGAATATGTAAAATATGTTTATTGAACATATTTTGTTCACTGGAGCAAATCACTGAGTTATCTCCCTGGCCTTGCCAGGGTTTTTAATTTACATTTCTCTGATCATGAATTCGGCAGAGCATCTTTTCATATGAATATTAAGTACTTACGTATCCTTTTCTGGGAAATATCTTTTTTTTTTTTTTTTTTTTTTACTTTTCCTATTGGATTAACTTTTTCTTCAGATTTGTAAGGAATTCTGAGATCCTTTATGGGAATCCCTTACATTAATATAGTAAGATGAATAAAATGAATTCACTTAGTGATTTACTCACCAGTCAGAGGGCAATGGGAAAGTGACAAGTCTGAATTAAAATTATTCTTTACTTCTTTTACCTCAAGGATTCACTTTAAGAGATTTGGAAACTCTCCCCTTTGGAATTGCTCTTCCCATCAGAGATGCAATTTATCACTGCCGGGAGCAGCCTGCCTCAGACTGGCCAGAAGCGGTCTGCCTCCTGATCGGGCGTCAGGATCTTTCTAAGCAGGCCTGTGAGGGAAATTTACCCAGAGGGAAATCCGTGAGTATCAGCGTGGAAATATGGAGTTCAACTTCAACCTCAAAAAAAATCCAAGTAGTTCTTTATTTTCCTTTACAACTTTTTGCAACTATATATACCAATTTGTCTTTTATATTATGTACCAGATGCGGTTTCTAATTGAATACATCTTATCCATCATAAATTGAACATGGAGCAGATTTTGTGACTGCTCTGTCCTACCTGAACTTTGCTTGATTCGGCACAGGTGCTGAGTCCGTTGGGTGACTGCTAGGACTGTTGTCCTGTTTGTTCCCACATTTGTAATGAGCAGCTCTATGATTACTACATAGGAAAATCAGAACAACTGTAATTTGAATTTAGACAGTTAACTTTTTGTGCTATACTTTTCAATGTGTTAAATTTCTTGAATGTAGCCTTTTTAATGGGTTCAGATATCTATTTAATCATGTGAAGCTGAAGCCTCCCCCAAATCTTTTTCCACTAGAGTTGTTTAAAAGATGTTTTAGGGGCTGGGGAGATGGCTCAGTTGAATAAGCGCTTGCCTGGCAAGCACAAGGGCCTGAGTTCAATCCCTGGCTCAAAAAAAAAAAAGTTTTAAATAGTCACTTAATGATTTACTGCTCTTCTATATGAAGTACTGCCCTTCGTCAATCTTTAGATCTGTTTAAGAATGGTTTTTAAGAAGTCTAGAAATAGGGCGAAATGTTTTATTACGCTTCATACATTTCTCTTCTATAATCAGTATTTCGATTTTTGGTTTTTTGTTTTTTTTTTCCTGCCTTTTTGAAGATAGGGTGTTGCTGTGCAGTTCAGGGTGGCCATGAGCTCACTTTGTAGGCAAGGCTTGTCTCAAACATGCAACTGTCCTCCTGCCTCAGCCTCCTGAGTGCTAGGATTACAGGCATGTGCTACCATGCCCAGCTTTTTATAATCAGTACTTTTGAAAACTTGAAAGTAAAATTTGTGGGTAACTGTGGTTAAAAACAAATAATTGACTGTATCAAAAAAGTGTGTAGACAGGATACTGAATGTTCACAATACAATGAAATGATAGATGTGTGGGTCAAAGACATGCTAGTTACCCAGATCAGATCATTACAGGAACCTCCATCCTACTGTACCCTCAAAACATACATAATTATATATTAATTAAAAATTTAAAAATTGTGTTGGGAGTATAGCTCAGTGGTAAAGATTTGCTAAATAATAAAATTTTTAAAAAGAAGCTTCCAAAACTTTTAGAACTATATAAAATTAGTAGTAGCACTGCATTGAGGAGGATTTAGGGAGGATGATTCTGTTCCTGGTGATTCTTGTACTTTGCTCATGTCCCTCAGAAGGTAGCGGTTTGGCTCATTTCTTAAGTTTTCTTTGGGTTATCACATAGTAATCAGCAGATGGTAACTTTGAGTGAGTCTCATTGGGCCATGGGCTGTTAATGTGTCTTTAGAACCCATAGCGAAGCTTGATCCTCACAGTTGCCGAACTGGATCTGGGGGCACAGTGTTCCACGGGGACCCGCTGTCCAGCAGGGTCCTGGCACGACTGTTTGTTTGTTTTTTTTTAACACGTCTTTTTGATATGCATTATAATAGCAGTTCTTGGTTGCATTAGTGTTGTTTTTTTTTTTTTTTTCTGTGTTTAAAATTAAAAATAATCTTTTTCGCTGATAGTATGTCCTGTTTTCCTTAACTAAGAAAAAGCCAGTATGGGCTGGGGAGATATCTCAGTAGAATAAGTGCTTACCTGGCAAGCACAAGGTCCTGAGTTCAATCTCTGGTACCGCAAAAAAAAAAAAAAAAAAAAAAAAGAAAGAAAGAAAAAGCCTGTAGCATTTAGATTGCTTTTGTTACTGTGACAGCAGTTCAATGATGATAGCATTAGGCCATTAATATATATTTAAAGTAGTTCCATCTAAATTCAAGGTTTTTTAAAAATATATTTAGTACAGGGTCTATAGGGTCTTACTATGTGGATCAGACTCATAGTGATCCTCCTGTTTTCAGTCTTCCAAGTGCTGGGATTACAGAGGTGTGCCACCATGGCCAGTCTCAATCACCATCCCAGTTTGCCCCTAGGGTGGGGCCAAGGCCAGGCCAGCACGACACCCAAGGGGAACTCCAGCTGCTGAGCTCTGCCTAAGCAGGCGCTGTAGTCCGCTGAGCTTGAATTCAGAGTTTTCTTGTGTTTGCTGCTGTATTTTATAACTACGTATAAGCCCATGGAAATTCAGTGGTACATATTTTGTATTTCTATTCGCTGGGTATTTAAACCATTAGAATATATAGTCATGTATTACCTAATGATGAGTCACATTCTGAGAAGTGTCATTATGCAATTTTAACATTGTGCCACATGGTAGCATTTACAGTGACAATATTCGTAGGTGATATTATCTTACGAGACCCGCGATCGGCAGGAACGTTGTCCTGTGGTGCATGACTGGTGTCCTTCCAAATCAGCTAGTTCATAGGAACCAAAGTGAATTTTTATAAACTAAGAGTGACTAACTGGTTTTACTCACTATCTTTTTTTAAGCTAATCATGCTTCCACATTAAATGTTGGAATACTTTAATATTTCAACTTGGATTTAATTTTTTGTCAAGGAAGTATAAAACTCTTTGAAGCTGGGTGTGGTAGTATATGCCTGTAATCCCAGTACTTAGAAAGTTGAGGAAGGAGGATCACTACAAGTTTCAGGCCAGCCTGGACTATATAGTGAGATCCTCCCTCAGAAAACAAACTAAAAACCTCTTTGAAAGAACATAAGGAGATTCCATGTGCTGTACATCTGTGCTGCAGTCTGAATTGTTCAGACTGAATTATTAAACCATATGGTAAAATTTTGGCGGTGAGATGACTGAAAAATAAAACTAACCACAGTCTATTATCTTAAAATAAAACAGTATTACTCAGCTTCCTCAACCCTTGGTGTATATCCTTGGAATGTTTCAATAAATTTAGTCTCTGTTGTCATAATTTAAACTTTTTCCTCACAGTTCAATAAAGAATATTTCCAAATAGGTAATACAATACTTATAAAAAATGTTTAGTCAGATGTGGTAGTGCCCACAGTGTGAGAGGCTGAAGCAGGAGGATGGCCAGTTTGAGGCTGTCCTGTGTCATTTAGCAAGACCCTGTCTCTGTCTCTGTCTCTCTTTCCCTGTCCCTGTCCCTATCGCTATCTCTATCTCTGTCTCTGTGTTTTCTGCCTGCCTGCCTGCCTGCCTGCCTGTTTCTCTCTCTGTTTTTGGACTTTGTCTTAAAATAAATATTTTAAAGTGTCTGTGGTTGGCCCTGGGTTCAGAAGAATTCTTAAGGTTTTTTTTTTTGGTGGAACCAGGGATTGAACTCAGGGCCTTGCGCTTGCCAGGGAAGCGCTTATTCCACTGAGCCATCTCCCCAGCTCCCTGGGTTCAAAAAGAATAAAGTCCCAAAAGACTGTCTGTGCCCTACATGACATACGTATCTCAGAGCCAGGTGTGGTGGCTCCCTCCTGTAGTTTCATCTGCTTTCAAGGCTGAGGAGGAGGATCACTTGATCCTGAGCATTCAGGGCCAGTCGGGGGCAACATAGTAAGCCTCCAGCTAATTAAAGATTTGTAGTTTGGGGTGCCGGTGTGTCCCCCGTGTGGACCCCAGCACTCTTTGGTGGTGTGGGCATGTCCGTCCACGCGTGTCAATGTCGTCATGTCAGTAATTGCACATTGGCTGCTTGTAAATTCTTATACTCAAGTCTGTTACTCAGGTGCTCTCATCAGATGTCCCTTCAGGAACGGAAGCCGAAGAGGAAGATGATGGCATGAATGACATGAATCATGAGGTGATGTCCTTAATCTGGAGTGAGGATCTGAGGGTGCAGGACGTGCGAAGGCTGCTTCAGAGCGCACACCCCGTGCGTGTCAACGTGGTGCAGTACCCGGAGCTCAGCGACCATGAGTTCATCGAGGAGAAAGAGAACAGGTAGGAGATGTCTGTCAGGCATTGTGTAAATTTGAGACTTGTATTTGATTTTTCTCCAGGTTTTTATCTTTTAAACCCCTAAAATTTTAAAATAACCTTTTGAAGGCTTTTTAAAAGTTAAAGTTAAAATGTGTAATAGCTTTTAACTTTTCATCTGTCTTTAGTAAACATGCATGTTTCTGAATGTCTTTGGGTTTTGAGGACAGAATTCTCTCTTCCTCTTGAAAAATAGCAGTGTACTGTTTAGAAAAGGTTAATCAAAATGATTTTGTTGTAGTTATCGTAAGAATTTACAGCCAGAATGGGCATTGGTGGTTCAGTGGTAAGAACTCACAGCCAGGCATGGTGGTACAGGCCATAGTCCCAGCACTTGGGAGGCTGAGGCAGGAGGATTCCCTGTGAGGTTCAAGGCCACCTGGGCTATGTAGTAAGTTCAAGACTGGTCTAAACTACATAGTGAGACCCTGTTTCAAAAATAAATAAGTAAAATCTAAAAAAAAAAAAAAAAAAATCTTAACTAAAAAAAGAATTTACAAACAAAGTGAAACACTGGACTTGTTACTCTGTCTTTATCAGGAATAAATTTTGAAGGTTTTTTTTTTTTTTTACTAAAATTTAAACTGAAGCCCATATTTTAAAATTGTGTTAGGTAATACTCTGTAATAAATTGTAAGAATTTGTAGTAAACAGCATCACACGCTTGAGACATTTCAGGGCTAGTGCTGTGGGTCACTTCTGCTGACATTTTTACCTCTCTGTTGCTCATCTTTCTGCTTTGACTCTTCACCTGTCATTTCTGTGCCACTGCTTTCTAGTTCTCCTTTTCCTGGTTCTGCGTCAAAGGGAGGAGCCACCCAGACTGACGCACAGGATGCTGAAGATCTGAGACCATCATAAATTCCCCTTCGTGTGTATCTGAGGGCTAGACTCCTATACATGAGGAGTGGAGGGGCAGAGAGGTGTAGTACTGTGCTTACTGGTACAGGTACAGGCTCTAGAGCCAGGTGTGGCTGTGATCCAGTGAATTTGGATGAATTACACAACATGCTGCTGCGCAGTTGCCTCAGCTATGAGGACAGCCATGCTTCTAGCCTTTGTACCTCAGAGACTATTGTTTGCCAGCCAGTTGTCCTTACGTGGCTCTTACAGTCCTGCCTCGTATGTAGCGAGGCTGAGCGCAACTAGCGCCCTTACCAGGAGTGCGCTGATTCAAAGACTGTTAATGTTTTTTATTTTTAATATTTGTGGAATGAGTGTATCTTTTTATTAAAGAATGCCAGTATAATTGGTAGCACTTTTTCTTTGCAGTTATGTCATAGGTTTGGGAGATGCAGAGTTATTGTTATTGCTGTTATAGTTTTGTTTATTACTTTGGCAAGGTTGAGTTGGATTATGTAAAGGCTTTTACCTGCATGTGTATACATGGTATTGTCTCCCTAGTGTAAGAAACTGAAAGAGTAAATAAAATCAAGGAGTAAATAAAATCAGAAAGGTACAGTAGAGACTATAAAAGGGAATGGAACTACTCAAAAAGAAAGAAAAAAAAAACTGGGATAAGGGAAAGGAGAAAAGAAAGTAGGAAGGGAAAAAATAATATATATACACAAAGTAGCTAAGATGATTTAGTACTAATTTTATTGGTTTATTGAATAGTTAATGCTTACTTTTTTTGACCAATTTTGCGTGCTTATATCTGGTAATCTGAACAACTACATGGAGGACGACAATGTGCAATATAATAACCATTGTGAATTCCTATCTTATTGTTTTTTGAAATTCCGTATCATTTTTAATGTTTTTATTATTATTTTTTATTCTCTTTAAAATTTAAAAAAAATGCTGAAAACATTCTATGGGCAGCAGCCTCTTGGCTTTGCATATCTCAGATCCCAAATTAACTTGGTGGCTGTATTCTTAGTGACTCTTAGAGCTGAAATTTTCCTTCCCTGTGAACTGGAAAAGCAGTGATAATGTGTGCATAGTTAAGGAGAGAGTATACTCACAGGTGGTTTTGTCTGCAGAGAAAATGCTAGTCCTCTTGTTAGCCTCTGAAGGCAAATTTCTGTGTCTTCACATTGTACTTTTTTCTTTTTTGCAGTATTAAGAATTGAATTGAGAGACTTTGTACTGAGCTATATTTCCCATCCATTTTTAAATGTATATATGCTTTTGGTACAGGGTCTTGCTATACAGCTTGGACTTGTAGTGATCATCCTGTCTTATTCTCCCCAGCACTGGGATTATAGGCGTGTGCCTTCATGCCGGCCAGGTTCTGGCACTGACACAGCATATGGTACTGGGGATCAAACTTGGGACCTTGTGCTTGCCAGGCAGGCACTTACTGTTGAGCTATCTCCCAGCCCCATTTTAAAGTTTAGATTAATATGTATATTTTTTTCAGAACCCAGGACCTGCACTGAGTTATATCCCCAGCCTTTTTAATTATTTTAAATTTTGAGACAGGGTCTTATTAAGTCACCCAGGCTGGGCTTGAATTTGTGGTCTTTTGGCCCTAGACTCTCATTGTATTGGGAATACGTGTGTGTACCACTATACCTAGCTTAATGTATAGCTTTTAAGTTTCTTTTAGATGTAAATGCCTGCTTCTATTTGTTAGCGTTTGTCTTTTTTTAAGGCCTACAAGAGGGTAATTCAACATCCAAACATGTTAAAGTGTGATATGTTAATTTTGTAGGGTAGCCCACAGAATTCATTTTGACCTTACGGTGTACCTGACATGTAGTATTAGTCCTATAAACCCTAGCCATAATGTAAGTGAAACTAATTCTTTTTCCCTGCAGACACCATGAAATCCATTCATTTTCTTTCTTTCTCCATATAAAACCACAAAGGTGGTATAGCATTTCCGAGGGGCATTGTCAGATCTTACACATACTGAGGGTGGCCAGACTGAGGGAACCCCCAAAGTTCTGCATTCTCCTTTGAGAAAGTCAGCATCCCTCAGTAGCATTTTAAATCTCTTTAGCATATCCGCAGAGTGTTGGCTTAGTGTATAGGCCAGGTGGATTTTAGTCACAGCAGATAGGAAGCAAATCAAAGGATGTGTGCCTCCCCTTGCCAAGTCACCGACAGACGGAAGTCTTGGAATGAGAATAGTGTTTGGGTGGCTCCCTCTTCTCTGTGTGAGTTTACTTTGAGGTACATTTTATGCCTTCTTTGAAATACTTAACTGTGATTACATTCTGGTTCTGCTTCGCTCTAAGGTCTTTCTTGTGTTGGTTTTTGTTTGAATTGCAGATTGCTCCAGTTGTGCCAACGCACAATGGCCCTTCCAGTCGGACGAGGCATGTTCACCTTGTTTTCATACCACCCCGTTCCAACGGAACCACTGCCAATTCCTAAATTGAATCTGACTGGTATGTTATATTCTGACCTCTCTGAATTACAAGGAAAGTGTACGAGCAGTGGCTTTCTGAGTTTTAGTTAAAGCAAATGAAATGCTCCTTCTACTCCCTGAGCTAATTTCTATTAATGGCTGTTATAGTGGTTATCAAAGTGCAGACAGCAAATCAAACTAAACATTGAAGAAAGTAAAATAAAATCAGTTACTAATTCTACTTTTTAATGAGATTATCTTGAGATATAAAAGGTCATTTGGAACAGTTTAGAAAGAATATTGATAATGGTAAGAATATTGAATTTTGATTGAAATTTGATTATTATACTAAAGAGTATAATATATAAAAATATTTAACCTTAAAATTTTTCCTATCATGTTATAAATTTATGGTCCTAGTACAAAAACAAGTGGTTCACTTAGCAAAAGGAAGAAAAATGATCAAATGATCACCTCTGCTGTTGTCCAGCGGTACTGCTGGCTCTAATTGGCCAGTGTCTTTAGTGTCATTTCTCTCAACATTCTGATAGATGTATTTCCCAGTTTTAATTTCTGTACACTTATAATTTCATATTAAGTTTTATACTTATATATTTTAGTTACATGTAATTTTCTGTTGGAAATTTAAATCTGTCATAGAAATTATTTTAAAAATTTAGTTGCATCTTTCCATATCTAACATGTAAAGAACATGTATGTATATACAATTGTGTTTGTGTATATTATATGTGTTTTTATTCAATACCTTCATTTTTATTTTAGCATATTTTATTCTGTAGATATACTATAGTTTATAGGAATAACATATTTTTGGAAATTACACATTTCTGCTATTATATTTTCTGCCTGTATGTTGAGGCTGAGCACTTAGAAGGTAAACTTGTAGGACAGTAAGATGAGTAGTTCTAAAACTTTGATTTAAGTGTAGTCATATTGCCTTTCTCAGTAGTAGTATACATTTTTACTTCTCCACATGTAACTGCCCACTTCCCAATGGTGCTTGATCATGTGTTTCATAGTACATGACTACCTAATGCAAATTTGAGTGTGTGCTAAGGGTAACATGGGTACAGCTGAAATCATTGAAAAATCGTGTAAATTGGGGTGTATGTGGCTTCATGGAAATGTAATGTATGTACAGTGTATGCAGTAGCATTCATGATAGTATTGATATAAGCCAAGTATATAATTTTCAGTTGCAAAGTTTTAAAATGGACTGTCCTGGTCAGATCTATAAGAAGCTTGTGCTTTGGGCAGCAAGTGGGAAATGAGTTAGCTGTGGAATAAACATTCCCGTCTCCCATATCCTGCTCACTCTAAGCCCTGACAGGAGAGCTTGCAGACTGCCCTCCTCAAAGTTGTTTTCTAAGGCTGAGAACGCAGCACAGTGTAGAGCGCTTGCCTAGCGCATGAGGCTCTGGGTTTGGTCTGCAGGATTAGGTTGAGGGTGGGGAGCAGAGTGGGAGAAAGGCTACAATAGTAAACTGTTCTTTTGGGAATAAAGCAGCTAAGGCAAAATGTAAACAATTATTGAATCTTATGGAAGGCATAGTATATAAGCGGTCATTTTAATACTGTTCTCAACTTTTTTTTTTTTTTTTTAATGTATTTGGCACAGGGTCTCACAGTGCAGCTCAGACTCATAGCGATCCTTCTGATTTTAGCCTCCCTGGTGCTGGGATTACAGGCATGCGCCAACATGGCTGGTCTTGGTGGCCGGCTTAGTGTGCCTGGGGTTGGGGCCAGTGTGGCATGTGGTGCAGGGCATTAAAGCCCAGTCCCTGAGTTTAACTAAGCAGATGCTTAGTCTGCTGAGCTATTTCACTGGTCCTTGTTTTCAACTATATATTTTCATATAAAAACTTTGAGTTAAAAAGAAAACCTCTTGCGCTGGCCAGCTCAGCAGACTAAAGCACCTGCTTAGACAGACACAGGGACCAAAGTTCAGTTCCTGGTATGCTATGTGAGCTCTGCTCTCGGGGCATGCTGAACCTGTGACTGAGACTGGGCATGTGGTGTGTGCCTGTAATCCCAGTGCTTGGGAGGCTGAAAATAGGAGGATCACTATGAGTCCGATCTGTGTAGTGAGACCCTGCAGACCCTGTACTAAATACATTAAAAAAATAAAAATAAAAATAAATAAATTTAATCATTTTGTTTTGTGGATTTTTATTCTCTCAATGTCAACTTTCCTATGGCTGGATAGGACGAGCCCCTCCTCGGAACACAACGGTAGACCTGAATAGTGGGAACATCGATGTACCCCCCAACATGACAAGCTGGGCCAGCTTCCACAATGGGGTGGCTGCTGGGCTGAAGATCGCCCCTGCCTCCCAGATCGACTCGGCTTGGATAGTTTATAATAAGCCCAAGCATGCTGAGTTAGCCAATGAGTATGCTGGCTTCCTCATGGCGCTGGGCCTGAATGGACACCTTACTAAGCTGGCTACTCTCAATATCCATGACTATCTGACCAAGGTGAGAATGTGTTCCTAGTGCTTGGTGCTGGGCCTCCATTGCCAGTTGCATTGGCTCCTCAGTGCCATTTGCCGTTCCTTATTCATCCTTGTACCTCTAAGTCCCTTCCTCTCACAGCAGGCCAAGTAATCTTTCTAAAGTATAAATCAGCAGAAGTTACTCATTGGTCAGAACCATTGAATGAGTCCATCATATTTCTTGGTGCCTGTGTGATCCTGTTCATCTCTCTGGTGCTCCGTAACCTTCTTCCCTAGCTCCTCATCTAATCTAAGTGCTTCCTTCCCACCAGTTTTCCAGCTTTCAAGACCTGTTATAAATTTCTTTCTTTCTTTTTTTTTTTTGCAGTACCAGATATTGAACTCAGGACCCTGCGCTTGCCTGGCAAGCACTTACTCTGCTGAGCTATCTCCCTGGCCCCATAAGTTTCTCTATATGACCTTTTAAGGTTCTTTTCTTAGTAATCCTCTAGCCTCTGCTAACCAAAAATGAAGCTATTTAAAAATACTCTTTTGTAATACTTTGAAATTTTCATTATACTACTTTTTTTTTTCTTTTCTTTTTTAGTACTGGAGATTGAACTCAGGACCCTGTGCTTGCCATGCAAGCGCTTATTCTGCTGAGCTATCTCCCCAGCCCCTATACTACTTTTTAATAATGAATTTATTTGTAAGTCTTTAGTCCTTTTTTTCTCTCCTATTAGAGCCCTAACTCCATGGGAACAAGGACAGAGTTTCATTTTCCACTGTACTCTTGTGAATCACTGTGCTTATGATATAAAAGTACTTATTGACAGTGGCAGTATTTTAAAACTGCATATTTGTTTTGGTAGTGAGTCTTCAGTTTCATTTATTTTCCATTCTAGGGCCATGAAATGACAAGCATTGGACTGCTACTTGGTGTCTCAGCTGCAAAACTAGGCACCATGGATATGTCAATCACTCGGCTGCTTAGCATTCACATTCCTGCTCTTCTACCACCAACGTCCACAGAGCTGGATGTTCCCCACAATGTGCAGGTGGCCGCAGTGGTAGGCATTGGCCTTGTGTACCAGGGGACAGCCCACAGGCACACTGCAGAAGTCTTGCTGGCTGAAATAGGTATGATTAATGATGCTGAGTCTCTGGCTATATCTCACTCCATATGAAAAAGTAAAATGATAATAAAATTGCAAAGATGAAGAAAAAACAATAGTAGCTTTTATGAGCACAGAATGGTCTGATAAGTATAAAAAATTGCAAGTATTATTTTGCAAGGCTAATGTTACTTGTTAGGTTATTAGCCCACATATTTATTGGACTTGCCCATTGTACGCTTCAGGGGTCACATTTAATGAGGTGTCTGAGGTCTTAGTCACCTGTGATCATGGCTTTTATTCCACTGTGTGTTTACCAGTAATGTCTAGCAGTGGCCTGTACTTAAAGTTGATTGTTTTGGTCCTTAACATCTCAGTGTTTGTTCTGTTGGAACACTGGCTTGAAAAACACTTGAAGCAATAGACGTGATCGGTTTCTATAACTGATGCATGTCTTCCTATACATTTTAAATTGTCTCTAGATTACTATCAGAACTTAATGCAGTGTAAGTGATAGGTAATTAATTGCTACACTGTATTGTTCAGGGAATAATGAGAAGAAAAATATACTGAAAATGCAACTTTTTCACTTTATAAGCAAGCAGGTAAGTTGTAGCCCTTTAATCCGGTGCTTTGGTAATTACCAGAATGTTTTTTGCTCATTGGCCAGCACATAGCAGGGTTAAACAGGTGAGAAAATCCAGATGTGATGTTTGAAAAAATATTTTCATTTATAGTTGGTTGAGTTCGTGGATACAGAATCTGCAGATATGAAGGGCTGACTGTGCTGCACACACACCAGTGATAAGGTTTATTGTATAAGTTAGACACAGTAACAGGTTGACAGTAAAAACTAATAATTACGTAAACAGTTGTAGATTTTTTTTTTTTTTTTT